GGCCGGTCGCACATTTTTTTTTCTTTCTTAATATGCCACAATGAAACCATCTATATCATAGAGAAGAGTCGATGCCACAAGCTCCGTTCCGAGCTCGGATCCACTTTTGGGGGCCGGAGGGGGGGTGGAAAGTGCAAGGGATATACGGGCTTCCATGTGGACGAAGTTCTAGGATAGTCGTGTGGTACACAGGCTTCTGCTTTGATTCAGGGGGTTGATTTGGCGAGCGAGCCTACAGCAAGATTCTTTCCGTTCCGCTGCAAAGAACAGGAGTTCCTCCACAAAACGCTGGGTAGCTGTCTATTGCTGGGTTGCGTCCGCTGCTTGCGTTGTGTTGTTGTACTGCATGAGCACCCCGCCGATGTTGTTCGATGTTCGTAGTGTAGAGTATTTTACTCTTCGTTGGCGTTGTTTCGTTGTGTCGAACCCTCGGGAATGTCTTGCTTTAAGATAAATCTTTGGCTTGGCAAGAATTTCTCACACATGGAGAGAGAAGCAGCGCGTCGCGTCTGTTGAATCGCTCGTCACTTGCAATTATCGGAACTGTGCTCGGGCATCATTAGCCGTTTCGTGCGAACCATCTCCAGCGTCATGGCTTTGTGTGTGCGTTTTTGATCTGCAATTGAGCTGGGACCGCGACACGCGGGAGGAAGACATGAGAAGGAAATACGTGATGCTGACTGGTCTATCTAATCATGAATACTCCCGTCTTCGCGACAATGTGCTTTCTTTCCTCTCGCCTCCGTTCATATGGCGGGTGGTGCAGGTGGAGCTGTTCAACGCGCTGTGCAAGGCTCTACCGCAGTTAGAGGCTCTGAGAAGCCTGGAGCTGGAAGGGCTGAGGAAGTCTTTCGAAATGGTGGGTGGAATGGCTGACAGGGCTGCCCCAGAGCGCACCAATCGGGTTAAGTAAGAGGTACCAGAGTGCATGTTTAGACGCGTGGTGTGTGGCACGATGGCTTGCGGCGCCGCTCTGCCGTGGGTCGTCCCTTCACCTTGTGTATCGCCGAAAATGCCGAAGGTGGCACGGCATACTGTCTGTACTCGCCAGTGGTTTGTCGCCGCCATATGTACCCCAGAGTGACCTATTTGTGGCTTGCCGCGTCTGTCTCCTACTATTTAGACGCCTATGATGGTATCGGATGCATGCAAGCGGTTGCCAAATAGCTGGCACTCTGTGCGTGCCCTCGTTCATGAGCCCACCCGGAGTACCCTCGGAAAGACTACAACAGCCCCGACAATTCCTTGCCCGTCCAAGCGGACGGGGTCTGTTTGCAGGGGCTTAGGTTCATCAGAGACCAAGGGATGTTGACTCAAGGCCCTTAGCATGCAGCCCTTTTGAGGCGGGGGGACGCCGTATCATATACCCCAGGGTCCCCGCAGATAAGTATCGGGTGCTGGGTATTGTACCTTAAACAGACTCCGTCGAACGGCAGCTCTACTTCTAGCGTTTGGGAGTACTTTCCCTTCTGCTAACGAATACCCCATGCCTTTCGCCTCCGCCCGCCCGTACCGGCCCAACGACCAACAAACGACGGCGGCGCGCAAATTGTCGTATATAAAAAAAAACTCTTGCGCATGCAGTCCAAAGCGGGCGGCGGCGGGCCCGCCCGTCTCGCGAGGGGGCTCGCCAGAAACACGGGGCTCAAGTCCCTCGCCGTCCGCCACGTCCGCCTGACGGACTCGCGCGCCCTGGGCGCGCTGTCCACGGCCGTCAGCGTCCACCCTTCCCTAGTCGCCCTGTCCCTGCGGGGCTGCGGCCTCGTGGGCGAGGCGTCCGGCCGGCTGGTGTCCTCCGTCCTCAGGGCGCACGCGGCCCGGCGGGAGGGCCTGGTGTGGAGCGCCGGGCTGCGGCGGCCGACGGGGGTGGTGGGACACACGGCGGCCGCGGCCCCGGCGAGGATCTCGACGGCGGGGTGCCTGGCGGTGGACCTGTCGGACAACCGCCTCGGCGACGCCGGGGTGCACGCCGTCGCGAGGGGCTTGCAGAGCGACACCTGGCTGGTGGGTTCGGGTTCGCTGTCAGTTTAGCGAAAAAGTCGGGATCACCACTGTTTGGTGGTACCGCTGTGTTCAACGCCATAAGCGTCTATTACGCACACGTCCATCTACATCCCGATAGGGAAATGCATCGCTGGCTCATACTCACGTAACTTCATGTGCACTGGTGGCTCAAATCAACCTCCAAGTCGAGAAGTCGAGGCCGGTCGGCGTTGTAGATAGTTATAATATCCATTGGTGTGCTGTGTTCAGCGCCGCCAGCGTCGATTACGCACACGTTTACTAAATATGTGCACCATCCCGATAGGCAATTATCGCCTGCTTATGCTCAAGCAACGTGCTGTGCACTATCGTGGGCTGGTGGCTCGAATCGACCTCCCAAGTCAAGGCCGGTCGGCGGCGGTAGATAGTTACATGCGTGCTCACCCCTTTTCCCATCGCCCTGGTGTGTTCTTCGATTGTTTCCCCCCTTCACCGCCGCCAGCTGGGTGTGAACCTGGCGCGCAACGGGATCACCGACCACGGGGCGGCCCTGCTGTCGGTGTGCCTGCAGCACAACGCCACGCTGTGCGCCCTCGTCCTGGACGGAAACCCGGAGGTCGGGCACGGAGCGGAGAGGCGCATCACGGAGGAGCTGGAGACGAGGAGCATGATGCCGGAGGTAAGGACCGCCGAAACCAAACCTGCTGCGCGCGCGCCATTGTGTGTAAGGGGTGGGAGTAGGTTTTGTTTTACAGTGGGTGGTGCTTGTCGATTCAGGGCGTGTGTCTGCTGGGTGTGTGTAGCACGATGCCGTGCGTGGGGATGGCGTTAAGACAGCTAAAACTTCACGCTTCGCTCACCTTTATATCGCTGAGTACGGTTCGTCGGTAGACCGGTTCCTCGGGGCTGAAGATCTATGTAGAACTGGGCTTACCTGCATGTGCGTTTCATCCTTGATGGTCTCCTTATTTATATCATACGGCAAATGACAGATCGTACGCCAACTTGCTGGGGACCTCCAAGTAGACGTAGGTCGCCATGGCTTATCTTCCACTGCAATGTTTGCACGCGAACGGTATTCAATCATTCACTTGTCACAGGAGACACGGATGAAGCATGTGATAGACAGAGTAGCGGGTGACAACATGCACTTGCGTGGGTGAGTGGTCTCGGCGGTAGAGTCGTGCGTGTGGCCGCAGCAGTGTTTTTCCCCGCGGCAACACCGCCAGCGTCCTCCCAAGCATTAAGAGAACCAGGTGTGCTTCGACCCCGTCCGGTCGGTGGTGAGACGATGCTGCTCATCTCTCGGACACCTATGGAGATGTTCTGAGAAAAACGTATGCATACGACGTGCTCGTGCTACGAGAGATAGCTGTGTAGACGGAGAGAAATTTAGAGTGAGATGAATCTGAGGCACCTCTTGGCTTTGGTTCGTTCAGTTGCCTGGCGAGAAGTGAAATGACGCATACTTGCGCCAGATACTGTAGGATAGCGCTGCCTAGCCACGGAGAAGCGGAAAGTGTCCAAGACATCACAGAGAGTAGAATAGAAACCCCTACCACGCAAAGCCTAAAGATCACAGATGTTTGGCAATCGCTTCTACAAAGGGTAATCTGTCTCTAAGTATCGATTCGACCAGGAGAAGGATCAGTGCGCCCCCTCCCAAACTTCCAGATGCTGGCGAGCAACGACCAACACAAGAATATATCATCATGCCCTCGCCCCCCCCCCCCCCCCCCCCAACCCCCCCAAAAACCCCCCCTCCCCCCCCGGTCCCCCCCCCCAACCCCAATATAGCCTGCGGTTCGGCGCCCCCAAACCCCCCCAAAAAGGGCGCTCTTCAAAAAACCCAGGGTGGCCCGAACCCGGCCTCCGGGGGGTTCCCGGCCCCCACGGGGGGCCACCCAAAATTTTCCCCCCCCACCCCGCCCCCCGGTGGAAGGGGCGGAAAAGGCTCGGGGGGGGCCCAAAATTCCCAAGAAAAATTTGGGGGG